TGAGAAAATTATTATTTTATAATATTTTTTAAATTTTATTTTATGTAATTTTATCCAAAATTTAAGGAAAAAAATAATAAAATGATTATTTTATGGTGTGTTAATCAATTATGTTTTTAGTATTTTTATAAAATAATTTATATTGTTATGAGATGTTTTTTTAAATTGAGATGATAATAATTTTGATTTTATTTATAAATACAGATGAGATTATTTTTTTATTTTATATATGCAATATGAATGTCAAATCGAAGATCGTTAAAATATGATTATATTGGTATCATAAATAAAAAATAAAATATAAATAAAAAATTTATAAAGTTTTAAAAAATAAAAAGAATAAATACTTATAATAAATAACAAAAAAAAGGTAAGAGTAGTATATGGTAACTTAAGAAAAAAGGAAAGCTAAAATAGTTTATGGTAATGCTCAAGCCTAATAGTCAAAACCAGAGCTGAACATGTGTCAATACGAAGCACCAATTTATGTCAAATAAGCTTGCGAAGCACACGAGCCTACCACTTAGGCTCAACGCATTCGTGAATTATATATAGGGGCGATTGCTCTTAACTTTCAACCACTGCAAAGGTTCAAACTTGAAGCCTCTAAAGATGCTGACTAGGAAAGTTGTGTGGATGATAGAAGGTCCACTGGTGTCCATTTCATCCTCTTGGATCCTAATCTTCTCAAGTGGAGTTCTATAAAGCCGTAGGTTGTCTCTAGAAGCAGTACAGAATCTGAGTATAGGAGTCTTGCTAATGCCACCAGATCCTTTTTGGAGGCACTCATTGTTTCAAGAGATTGGCTTATATTTTGGAATCTCCCACAGTTCAGCGGTGTCAGATCTTAGTGTTGATAGGTCGAAAAATGTGCATATTTTATATATTTAATAGTGTATTTTTATACACTTAATTTACACGTTTATATTTTTCGACTTATTTATTATTTTTGGATGAATTCACGTACTTTGATATTTTATTATCTATTTTCTGTATTTTGAAGAATACTCAAAGATGTCGATGAATAGGACCCGTATTGTTGGCTACTTGAATTTTTGGCATAAAAAAGAATTTGGGCCAAACATTAAAAAAAAAAAAATCAAAAGCCCAATTAATGGGACACATGAAGACACCAAATATGTCACGCCTCGGAAGAGATTTTGGAGGATGAGGAAAAAGCCATTAGCACGCACGGGATTTATTTTGCGGGGCGGAGATTTTACGAAAAGAAGAAAAAACCGAACAGAGAGTAGACGGGGAAAAGAGCCGCATATAGACGCACATAGAAGACTTCACGCACGGATTGAAGAAAGAAGGCTACACACGCGGAAGGAAGTCACACCCGCATACAAGAGAGAGATAATTTTATCTTCTCTCTTTTATCTAGTATTTAATTTTAATAGTATGTTAGGCTAGTTATTTTATACAGTTTTAAGGGATGTTTGAACCCTAACTTGAATTTATCTATGGATTTAAGGGTTTATATGTATTGTTGATTAATCGAGACGCCCGTATTTATTTTTATTGATAAGTTGATTCATGTTATCAGTGTATAACGTTTATGAATTATTTGATTTAGTTTTAAATATTAATTGTTTAACTGCTAGATTTGGGGATTTGATCCGTAATTGTTATCGTTCTCGTTTCGTTAGTAGTAAACTAGGGGTCGTGCATCTCTAGGGTAGCGTGAACATAAGTTAAATGGACCGAGCTTTTGCGTCCGTTACTTAGACTAATCCATTTTTCTAGGAATTAATGCTGCTAGTGAACTAAATCTAGAGAGCTTATTATAGGTTGTCTGCTAGTTAAGTTTAGTCGAAGAGCCTATTTCGATTAAATACTCGGTAAGGAGAAATTCGGTTAACAGGGCTTATTGTTAGTTAGGGTTGGTAATTCATCGACAATTTAAAGAAGACGTCGAAATTAATTAACGGTAGATTTAGATTGGGTGATAACTGAACCGAAAACTGGAATTTCTCTTATTTTATTTTATTTTATTTTATTTCGTTATTTTTATTTTTATAAAACCAATCCCCCTCTTTAGTGCTTTCTTAGTTTTAATTCGATTAATACGAGAATAGTCACAATTTAATTCCTGCTCCTCATGGGATCGTTCCTTACTCTCGGCTACTACTAGTTAGTAGAGGTTTGTTAAGGAAACTTTATAGATTTAAATTTGTCGCGTCGCGACACGCGGTCAAGTGTTGAGGCTCTTGCTTCAAATCCAGATTAAAATGCTTGAACAAAGCATATTGAGATTGATGTTCACTTTGTTCGAGAAATGTGGGTTGCTGATGGAGAAGAGATTGCGTTGGCTTTTCTGGACAAGCATGATCGTTTGGAATTATTAGTTTAATTATTTATTCCTTTTATTTTATTTAATGTATTTAATTATTTCTAGTCTTTTACTTGGTAGGAAAGTTACTTAATTATTGAAAAGATATTTATACTAGTCTTTTTCTTGATAGGTAAGTTATTTCACCAGGGTTTTTAGGAGATCCATTTAAGACTCTTAATTATTCTATTGTTTGAAGGGTAGTTGATTTTGACTGAATAAAAATATATTGAGAGTTTACTCTTTCTTCTCCCAATCGTTTACGCTTTTGCTACGTAACCTAGTATTAGCAGACCAGTACGATTTCTAAGTCATGACGCCCAAGAGGACTGACGCCGCAAATGACAGGCACGACGCCATGATCGAGGCATTGAGCTGCCAGTGCCAGGCTCTTTCGGTGGCAGTAGAAGACATCCGTTTGGCGTTGGCCGCACGTGACCATGGCAATCGTATGAACCACACGCCAGACGGAGTACGTGGCAGCTGCGAGTGGGTGCATGGTGGACGTTGTCGGGATGCTCGCATGGCGCCCCGCTCCCGATCGCCTCCGTCGTTCTTCGGTGATGATGATCTTGAGGACACCGTCTCCGAGGTAAATTTGTTTGGTACGATGGTGTGCCAGACGATGGCTGATTTGCCAATAATAGGCATTGGATAACATCATTTCGAGTCGAGATCTCCAAATTTTTCGAGGGCCTGGACGCCACCGAGTTCTGGATGAGCAAAGGTAGACCAAATATGCGAGGTCTGCCTCTTTTTGATGACGAGAGTTCGACCTAATTTGAGATTCTGCCTCTTTTTTTATGACGAGTGGTCGACCGAATACGAAGATCCGTCTTTTTTTTATGACGAAGTTATCAACACTATGACGTACGCTGCTCAAGTGGAGAAGTTTTTTTCCCATTGGGACAACGGTGGGGATGGTGGTTGACGACTTTGTGAGGATTTCGAGGGCAATGTACGCAAAACTGGTGCAACAAAAGTTTCAAGCTCCCGGTTGCTTCCCCATGCTAGATAGGAGCAATGTAGGAACATGTATGGAGGCGAAATTGGGATACACATTACTTGTGGTTTTGCGTTGATGTATCCAAGGAGTGGTATTCAACATCAGATTGATTTAGTGATGGAGACGAGATTGCATCACAGTCGAGGGAAAATCTTTTTCATGAGGGGATAGAGACGAGATTGTGCTAGATTCGAGAGCGAATCTTATTCATGAGGGGGAGAACGATAAAGAAGATATTGCATTGGCTTTTTTTGGACAATCATGATCGCTTTCCATCAATAGTTTAATTATTTATATTTTTATTTTATTGTTATTTATGGTATTTAATTATTTTAATCTTTTACTTTGTAGGGAAGTTACTTAATAATAGGAAAGATATTTATCCTAATCCTTAATTTCCTTGATAGATAAGTTATTTCACTATGGTGTTAGGAAATCTATTTAAGACTCTTACTGAAGGGTAGTTGATTTTTATTGAATAAAACTATATTGAGAGTTTTCTTTTGATTCTTTTCACTTGTTTACGCTCTCGCTCGTCAGTTGCTAAGGATGTTGAAGTGAGATATGTACCTTCAATCTTCAACTTGCAGACTTGTTGACTAAGCCACTCTCTCCCCCGGTCAGTTTCATTTGTTGAACTCTCAGCTTCCTTTGCATGCGAAAGGCCCCTAAGTCCTTGGCTTGGTTTGAAGGAGGTGCATTAGGCAATAGTTAAATGAATCAGTTTAGTTAGCCTAGTTACATTAGTTAAGTGATTTAGTTATTTACTCATGCAATTAGTTATATAGCTAGCTCATAGCTCGGCTAGCTCAGCTAAGAGCATATTACTTTTGTACAAATACATCATCTTCTTCATTGTGATTATAACACAATTCACAGCTTTCTATATAATCATCCATGGTTTTCATCATCTTCAACAATACTTATGAGGTTTAGTTATGTCCTACATTATCTTTTTTATAAAGTTAGAGTGAAGTTTTTACTATGGCTTTTTTCTTCTATGTGCATGAAAAGGGAAATAATGATACATTGATACGGGCCATACGGGCCATTTATCACATAAGACATAGTGGTATATTACAATTTTCAGCTAGCCAAGACACTGATAATGAAATGCCTATTATTTTCTTCTGGGCGCAAAATCTAGTTTGTTAATATTTTTCCCATATATATATATATATATATATATATATATATATATATATATATATAGGGTCGCGCTCACATGAGAATGAAGCTTAATGCGAGAAATGAGAATAAATTATAGTCATCGGATCGGATGATCTAATGTCTAAAAAAGAGTCAAAATTATACCTTCAATAAGGATATTGGAGTAATGTTTCACACCACCCCAAACAGATGGGCTCCTTTCACAATAATGCACGTCACTAACATTACCCACCCACCACATTAAACCACATTAATGCACCTTCCACCAACCCCACCCTACTCCACCCCACCTCACGCTCACCCTACACTATCTCTCTCTCACACACACACAAACACACACACACAATCTACACACACACATTCACGGCCCAAAATCTGACAGCCACCGGCAACTCCACAGAGCGCCGCCGCAGTCCGACACCGTCCACCGCTCCTCACCGGCCGATACCAGTGAACGCCAGTGCCCGTCGACGCCTTTCAAATCCGACCATGCCTCTCAAATCCGCAGGAGAAGACGACCTCGTCCCGCCGGAGAATACGAACTATCCTGCCGGAGAAGACGACCTCGTCCCGCCGGAGAATACGAGTTGTCCCGCCGGAGAAGACGAGCTGTCCCGCAGGAGAAGACGACCTCGCCCCGCTGAGAAGACGAGCTTCCCGCCGGAGAAGACGACCTCGTCCCGCCTGCCAACCTCCGTCGACCTCCGTCACCTTGGATCTAGTCCTGTCACCGGAAATCGGATTGGAGGAAATGAGATCCTGCAGCTCGAACCTCGCCATCTCCGAGGGAGGAAACGATTCCCGAAACTGAAATTGTGTGTGATTTGGGCATCTTTTTGAGAATTAGGTTATGTACATGGATCTATTTGCAATTTTATCAATTTTAATTATATTTCAATTTAACTCATCGGTCAAATATGTAATTATTTAAAATTAATAAAAGTTGTTTCTTACATTTTTGTTGTGCATTTATTAAATAATTAATAAAATTATAAAATAAAGATAATGTGAAATTATTAAAATAATATAAAAATGTGTTATAATAATAAATAAATTATATAATAAAAATAATAAATGAAAGATATTTTAATTATTTAAGTAATTTCAATATACAATTATAGCTATTAAATGATTTTCGAATGTACATTATTTATATGGGAAGGTATAAATTAGTGCAATTTGTATGGTGGAATGTTGCACTTTATAAAACATCTCGTTGCACTTTACAAGACGTCATGTTGCACTTTATCAACATAAACTAACGTCAACAACTTCCGTCAAAAATATTGCGCGGTATAAATCTAGAATACGGTAAATAATAAAAAAATTATTAAATAACAATAATATAAAATATTAAAATAGCATAAAAAAATTTTATAGTAATGAGTAAATTATATAATAAAAAATAGCAAATAAAAAGACATTTTAATGATTTAAGTTAATTCAATGTACAATTATACCTATTAAATAGTTTTCGAATACATATAATTTATTAATTAATGCACGTTATATAGCAGGATGTTGCACTTTATAAAACAACACGTTGCACTTTATAAGACGTCACGTTGCACTTTATCAACATAGCTCCCGCCAAAGATATTACGCGGTATAAATCTAAAAAACATATATACATAATTGCACTTTATACATCAATATGTTGCACTGTATACGGAAATACATTGCACTTTATAACACGACATGTTACAACTTATAAACAACAAACTACGCGTACCGAAAAATACGGTAATTCGACTAATCGATTGAATAAATTAATTGGTTAAATGTCGAATTTAGTCTTTTTAAATAAATAAAATAACTGAACATGACGAACTATATGAAAATTATTATCAATTCTTTTTATTTATATATTTTAATACAAAATTATAATTTTTTTAATATTCTTATATGTATTGCGAATGCACATAATGGTTATACTAATTGCACATAAACGTCTACCATATTGCACAAAATCAAACGAGATCCAACGAACATAAATTCGGTACGAAAATTTATATTTTGTTTCGATTATAATTATTATTATTTTATATATCGAGTATTGTCGATACGATGATATTTTTTTATTTAAATAACTAAAATAAAAACAAAATTATATTAAAAAAATTATTATTATTATTATTGTTATTATTATTATTTTTTTTGTATACAAATATTAAGCTATGATTTTCTATTGAAATATAAAAAATCAATATAGTGAATTTTATGCATTATTGTGTATGTATTAAACTCTTACTATATTATCAATTTCCCAATTGTACTCAATTGAAATAAAATAAAATTTTATAAATTGCAATTAGGCCCCTAGATTAAATCAAATTCTCACACAAATGACCCAAACTCAAACAAACACACATCATATGATTGCTATATTAGGCCAAAACCACAGTGGTCTTTGCCGGCCGACGTTGGCCTGTTACTCGCCGCCGACGTTCACCGGCGATTTTTCCGGCGAGCGGCCAAGATGAAGGTTCACGACATTAAAACG